GCCAGAGTTGTTCCTCATTTTCTACAGATTCCCTGTAAACTGTGGATTTCAGATGTCCCCATAAAAAGTAATCCATCTGTGTTAGGTCTGGGGAACGTGGTGGCCAGTTTACAGGTGCGTCATTACCTCTGCCTATCCATTTGTGTGGATATTGTTCATTCAAGTGGTTTCTAACGTTTAAAGGAAAATGTGGTGGAGCTCCATCTTGCATAAACCACATATCTATCCGAAGTTGGAGAGGTAAATCTCCTAACAATTCTGGCAACGTATTTTGTAGAAAATCCAAATAGTTTTCTCCAGTTAATCTTCGTGGAAGTATGACAGGACCAACAATGAAATTACCAATTATTCCAGCCTACACATTAATTTTGAATTCGTGCTAAAAATGGTTTACCTTTATTGCATGCGGATTTTCAACGGCATAAACATGTTCATTATGGGTATTAGTGATACCTCTTCTTGTAAAACCCGCTTCATCGGTAAAGAGAACCTTCTTGACAAAGTTTGGATCTCTTTGCATATTAACAAATCGACAAAAACCCATACGAATTTGAGGATCATGGACTAATAATTCTTGTACTGGCTTCTTATGGTATGGATATAGCAATTGTTCTCTAAGCACTTTATGAACGACATCTTTACTTACTCCTAGTTCCCTTCCAATTCGTCTGGTGCTTAATTCTGGATCTTCTTCAACACGTTCTAAAATGTCTTCTTCAACTTCAGGAATTCTTACAAAACGTTCTCTTCCATTATCAACAGTGTTGGGAGCAAAGGAACCGGTCTCCCGAAGACGTCTCTCAACAGCAGCAAAAGTTGGGTGGCTAGGTACACGACGATTTGGAAACCTTTCAGAGTACACCCTAACACTATCTCGAGCATTTCCTTCACAAAATCCTAATGTCAGTAACATATCGGTATGTTCTGCATTGGTATATTGTACAGCTATATTAATAAACCACGCATTTGTTTTTTTAATTATTAAGTCAGATATAACACTTTCAATCGTTAACAAGAGATTAGGTGTTAAAACTTGACAATATTTTTATTTAGATGAAACTATGGAAACCAACAATAAATGTTTTTGTATACGTATTGCAGGCAAATAATTAATATTCCTCAAAAAATCGTACATGGCAAGAATCGAGTATTTTTGTTAAAAGTCTCGATTAGAGGTGTTGAGGAAGATATGAAAAAAGTACATTTTTATGTTTTCCATCGTATAAAATTTTGTCCGATAATAATACATAGGCGTAGAACTTGATTTTTTAAATAATTGCACATTTAAAAATTCTACGCCAATGGCAAAAAAGGGGTTTGAGTATGAAATTTGGATTGGGTGCTCATTTACTACAAAAAAGTACCCTTGATAAAACTCGATTTACTCTCATGGTTTTGACAAAGTTTGTATTTTAATAATTATTGTTTATGTTCTAAAATTACTAAAATGCAAATTTCGTCAAAACCATGAGAGTAATCGAATCTTATCAAGAGTACCTTTTTTAAAGTAAATGAGTTGCGCAATCTAAATTTCATACTCAAACTCCTTTTCTTCCATTGGCGTAGAATTTTTAAAGGTGCAATTATTTAATAAATCAAGTTCTACGCCTATGTATTATTATTGGACAAAATTTTAATACCATTTTTTTTGCCACATAAAACTCTACCAACATACCAAATTTCAGCAAAATCGCATATGCCGTTTTAAATTTATATGGGAAAAACGATTTAAAAATTGTAACTTCAAGGCCCTCTGGAGCCCAAACAAAGCAACTTTGTACTAAGGTAATTTTACTTAAATCGACTTATTTTGGTCTAAGGAATATGTGGTATGTTTTTGTAAAGAACTTTTACAGACACCCTGTATAATGATGGCATCCACTACACTACAATCACCAATAACTGGCCACTGCTTTGTAGATTTAGAAGTCAAAAACCATAAATATAAAAATTTAAGATTATCAGTACTTCAAGATTTATGCGCCGACTGTATAATTGGTCACGATATACTTAGACAGCATTCTGCCATAGAAGTAATTTTTGGAGGTGCGAAATCCCCTTTCATAATCGGTCCCTCTCCGACCATTTGTAGTTTAGCTTTTCTAAATATAGAACCACCACCATTATTTTCAAATTTGTCAGTCAACTGCAGACCTATAGCTACTAAGTCTAGACGATGTTTGGCCGAAGATTTGAAATTTATTACTACTGAAATTGAAAAACTTCTTTCGAATGGCATAATAGAAGAAAGTAATCTGCCCTGGCGTGCACAAGTTTTAATAATAAAAACAGATTTACCTATCTAGATGCGTATTCTCTACCCAATATAGAAGATATAGTCCGTACTGTTGCACAATTTCAAGTATTTAGTACAATTCATCTACAAAGTGCATATCACCAGGTACCAATCCGAGAAAATGAGAAGATTTTTACTGCTTTTGAGGAAATGGTAAATTATATTAATTTCTAAGAATTCCGTTTGGCGTAACGAATGGAGTCGCCTGTTTTCAGCGCGTTATAGATAATATTATCAAATCTGAAAATCTAAAAGGGGTATTTGCATATTTAGACGATATTACAGTTTGCGGGAATTGCCAAATTGAACACGATGAAAATGTGAAAAACTTTTTAATTGTAACAAAAATATAACTTAATAAACCATAACAAAAGTTTTTACTCTATAAAATCAATCAAACTTCTTGAATATCTTATTGAAAACAAAACCCTAAAACCTGACCCCACTAGACTGGAACCATTATTAAAACTTCCTCTACCCTTTAACTCTCAATCTTTGAAAAGAGCTGTTGGTATGTTTTCTCATTACAAGTGGATACCTCAGTTTTCAAAGAAAATCCACAAACTCGTCTCTTGTAAAATATTTCCTTTCCCAAAACCAGTAGCTTGTGACTTTGAAAGACCAAAATAAGATATTGCAAAGTCAGTTGTCACTACTATTGAAGATGATATTCCTTTTGTTGTTGAGACAGATGCCTCAGAACATTCTATTGCTTCATCTTTGAGCCAAGCTAGAAGGCCCGTTGCATTTTTCTCCAGGACACTGACAAAAAGTGAATAAAACCATTCATCAGTAGAAAAAGAAGCTTATTCTATTGTTAAAGCGCTTAAACAATGGCGTCACTTTTTGATTGGTAAACATTTTCAGCTCATTACTGACCAAACATCCATATCATTTATGTCCAATATGCGACACCTTAGCAAGATTAAGAATGAAAAGATTCTTATATGGCCTTTGTAACTGTCCTGTTACAGCTACGATATAGTATATAGACCCGGAGGACAAAATGTAGTATCTGATACGCTCACTTGAGTTTATGGCTCAAGCAGAGATAAATCTTTATTCGATTTGCACCAAGCTTTGTGCCATCCTGGTATTACAAGAATAACACATTGGATAAGGTCTCGAAATATGTCCTATTCAGTGGAAGACGTGCGTTCTATGACGGCAGCTTGTCCATTGTGTGGAGAACTTAAACCAATTTTTTTTAAATATCACGGAACACTTATAAAAGCTACTTCTACATTTGAAAGAATTTCTTTGAATTTTAAAGGCCCACTCCCTACAAATACTAAAAACAAATATATCCTCACAATCGTCGATGAATTCTCTCGTTTTCCATTTGCTTATCCTTGTCCCGGTATGACGTCAGATACTGTAATACAATGTCTTAGTAACTTATTCTCTGTATTTGGAATGCCCGGGTATATTCACTCCGATCAAGGTTTGTCATTCATGTCATATGAGTTAAAAACGTATTTACACTCTAGAGGAATAGTCACCAGCAGATCTACTCCGTATAGGTAATCCTGAAGAAAATGGACAAACCGAACGATTCAATGGAATAATTTAGAAAACAGTTACTCTTGCTCTAAGATCACAAAATTTAAAAGTTCAAATGTGGGAACAAGTATTAGAAGATGCTTTTCATTCAATACGTTCTCTTCTTTGTAATGCTACGAATTTCACACCTCACGAACGAATGTTCCATCATTCGAGGAATGGAATGGAAGAACTATACCACCTTGGCTAACAATTCCAGGTAAAGTTTTTATGAAGAAGCATGTTAAATGTTCGAAATATGACCCGTCCGTTGAGAAAGTTGAACTAATTGAAGCCAACCCTGAATATGCGCGTGTTCGTCACATTGATGGAAGAGAAGCCACAGTATCATTAAAGCATTTAGCACCCCGTGGAGATATATCTCTTTTTGATTCTCAAATTGAAGATAATTCTCTATTGGATTCTCAAAATTTACCAGACCATCAACTTCAACAAAATAATACCCAAAATCGTCCAGTAGAAAATGAAAAATGTCTTGAAATACCTCACCAAAATCCTCCTGAAACAAAAGATCTTATTGAACCTCAATCTAGTCAAAATTTTGACGTAAGTGCATCTGATTCAGAACTAACTAAATAGGCCCTTACTCAGCGAAGTAGAAGAATAAGGCGACCGCCAAAATATCTTGAAGATTATGTTCAAAAATGAACCTAAGGAGAATGTGGTGTATTTTCTTAACGTACTACCCTGTGTATACTTGTTTATTTTATCTATATTAATGTTAATCACTGTCAATTTTGTCATGTTCAATTTTGCTTATTAAAGCCTATTTTCAAAAGGTACTTTTAATTATAATAGGGGTCGGAACCCCCTCCCATGGAGTGTCTTCGCGTCACCATTTCCGCTATAGTATTGGCGCTGATCGCCATTGACTGTTTGTTTTTATTCATCTTCTTGATGGAAACCCCCCCATAGTTATCAAAAACCCCGCCCATGAAAAATGGCTGATTACGCCACTGGTCACGTGAGATACGGGTATTGTTGAAGAAACGATAGAACAGAGGCAGCTGAAATACGGCGGGATAATATAAAATCTAAAAGAATAGGCATTACAATACTAGTAAAAAAAATTCAAGTATATTGATTAAAATCTAATAGTGTAGTATTTATCTATTTAAATCGATAGGGAAAAATTGTTTACCTGTATACCTGGATGCATTGCTAACATTAAAAACGTTGTACAAATGGCCATACCAGTAGTATCCGTAGCCTATAATAAAGCAAAAAATAAGAAAGATAAAAATGCGTATGTTAGCTGACATGGACCATATTTCAAGAAATCTAAGCCGCGATGAAAGTGTGCAGGCAAATACTTTAGCTGGTGTTTGCTCGTTTCGTCCATTCCCGTTTCGTCCGCTAATAAAATTATACCTCTTTTGACCCTTTTTATGCTCGATTCGTCTGGTGAAGTAAAACCCTACTTAAGGACAGCGTCTCCTAGGAATTTCTGAACAAAATTATGTCAATTTAGATTCAATCAAGGAGGTGCTGTTACCTACCGACTAGAGATTGAATTAGTGCAAATTATTACAGAAATCTTTAAGTAACTATAAATATAGACCGACTAGCTATTAGGGGATATTGTATTATATTGTATTATAAACCGGTTTTTAGTAGACTGAGTTCGAAGGATCATAATAATAGTCCTGAACATAAAATCTATTTTTCAATAATTGCCGGGATTTTACCAAATAAAAAAAATTATTTCGTGATTGTGAAAACGGTCCATTCGTTTTATATGCCATTTATAATATTATAAAAATGTTAACTCTAGGACTCATTTTGGAGTATGAGCATACTTTATTTCAATACTTTTATTGTACTGTTTCATAAAGTATTACCTACCTATTACATTTTATTTTTATCGAAAATTGACTTTGTTTCCTGGACCAAAGTAAAGAATGTAGATGCAGATGGTAACAACAAAAACGATATCTTGCCTCACATTAAATATAAATATTTCCTAAAACAAATAATTTGGTTTATATACGGGTAGTAATACGAGGGATGTTTATAATTTCAAGTCACGAATATAGAGTCGTTTCAAAATATATTGCCACAATAATTGCGTCACATTGAGTCGGAGTGGGACGCTTGACGTGTCGCAATTCGCAATATATTTTAAAACTATTCTACCTAATTAATAAATTGTGATTTTGAAGTATCGAATGAAAACTATATTCTCATTGGTTAAAGATGGAAGTTTTTGTCATTTGAATGTTCAAGAATATTAATTGTCATTAATTGGTTAAATACCGAAGTTATCTGTTATCTGATGTTGGTACTAACCTAATGTTTTTGGGTAATTTTGACTGTCATTTCCTGGAATTTCCAGGCCCTCATAAATATTTATCCTATTAAAGTACAAAAACCCTACAATAGATATTATGAGTAGGTATTTAACATTCATTTATCTTATCTTATCTTATCTTAGGTAGTTATTTCCTAGAAACATGTCCCTGATTGTCAATAACACATTACCGTATATCTGTGCCAATATGACGTCACGACTTTTAATATACTTAATGAAGGCTGGGGGAAGGAGTTAAGAGTCTATAAATTTACAAACAAGCTTACGGGTATTTAGTTTTCAAAATTACATCACACGTTTCTGAAGTGTTTTATTGTGCTGTTTGTTTTTAATAAGTGTTATTTTCTTTAATAGAAAATTGATTTATTTGTGCCAAGTGTCCTAGTGAGTTTCATTGTACATTTTAATCAGTTTTATTTTTGGATAAATTGACATCGACTTCCTGCATTAAAGGTAGGTAGTATTTTTTTTCTATCACTCTCGAGTTCGTCATTGAATAAAAAAATTAAACGCTATAATTTTAACATTCAAATATTTGCAATTAAAAAATAATATTACGTATTAAATTTGACAATAAAAAAACTTGTTATTTAATAATAATGTTTCATTATTCTGAATATATTTTTTCTACGATCAATATCCAAAGTAGGTAGGCTTTTGCACATTAAAATCTAAATAAAAAGTTGACGTTTTCTGCGAATTGTCATAATTTGACATTATTGGCGCACATTACCTAATATTCAAACCCATTTCCATGCTTAAAAATCTGATGTGTCCAACACATGACTTTCCTATCTAGTTATTATAGGCATTTTCCGGTTATTTTGTACAACCTATTGCAGCATATCTATAAATGTTTAGAGGATAAACTAAATATATACATTTTACACATACATCTACCTCGAAACATTTTTCTATAGATATTCATTGAAAACGAAAATACAGAAAAATTTAAATTTAGCACTTTTCCATTACGGTCCATTTTAGAAAAATCATGTATAAACAAAAATTATAGAAATCGATATCGCAAACAACTTTTAGTTCAACAATTTTCATAAAAATCAGAATTTTGCACATTTTGTCAAATTTATCGAATACGGACCATTTCAGGAAATGTTGACATAAAGCAAAAATTATAGATAAAAATATTAGAAGTAACTTTTATTGAACAATTTTCTTCTCCAAACATAAATAACAGATATATTCCATAAAATATAAAAACGGCCTCCCATAAAGTACCCCCCCAGATGTTCCGACTTTGTCCAAAATCTAATCATTTCACGTCAGGCCGAAATAAACCTTAAGTTTAAAATTTAATGTTTTTTCCTTTATCCGTTTTTGAGTTTTCTTCAAATTTCGAAATTTACACATTTTCTCAAATATCTCGAATACGTTTCATTTTAGAGAAATTATGTATGGGACAAAAATTACAGAGAATTATATTACAAACAACTTTTATTTGAACAATTTTTATAAAAAATTATTTTTTTTACATTTTGTCAAATTTCTCGAATACGGACCATTTTAGGAAAATTTTGCATAATACAAACATTATAGATAATTATATTAGAAGTAACTTTTATTTGAAGAATTTTCTTCTCTAAACGTAAATAACAGATATATTCCATAAAATATAAAAATGACCACCAATAAAGTACCCCCCCAGATGTTCCGACTCTGCCCAAAATCTGAAACAAAGCTTAAGTTTAAAATTTGGTGTTTTTCTGTGTATCGGTTCATAAGTTATGCGTTATACAGACACACACACACACACACACACACACACACACACACACACACACACACACACACACACACACACACAGACATCATCGCGAAAATAGTCAAAACGGATTCAGGGGACCTCAAAACGTAAAAATCCGTCGAAAACTCGAGGTCGAAAAAAATCATGATTCCTATACTTTCCTTATATCTGTATACAGATAGGAAAGTAAAAATAGAAGATGGTGACATTCATTTAAAAGAAAACCATAACTACTTTTACCAGGTGAAAAATTTCAATATGTTAAAATAATTCATGATTTTTAAGAAATGTGCTAGAAATGATACTACAATATTAATATTCTTTTTATGTTTGATTTTCTAATAATGATTTTATATACTTTTAGATTCAAGGACAGCTAGGTATAGCTCAAAGAAAATTGTGCTACTTTGTAGTATATACTGGAGATGAAAATCCAATATTTGTTGAAAAAATTCATATTCAACCCATTTTTATTTTAAAATATGGTTGAAAAATTTTACTCGGAATATATGGCACCTGAGATAATTTTAAATAGAAGAGGACGAGGATTAAAATGTCTGGATACCCCATATAATGAAACTTAAAGTGCAAAGATTAGCAAATTTATAAAAATAATAATTTAATGGACTTTAATGATACAAGTACTTGAAATAATGGTTTTTTTTGCGCAGAAGCTGTTCATACGTAATTTGCAATTGGTAATCACTAATCACAGATGGAAAAGTATATACGTCAACGATATGTTCTCTTATTTTTGATTTATTTTAACAGGTATAATATATGGTATGTTACTTATAGTATAGATTTTTTTATTTCTCGACCTAATTTATTTGTTACGTCTTCAGCAATTGTCGCTTTCAGTTGACATAAACGAAATTGATAAAAAGTGTTTTTCGCATTTTATTTTGACTGTTTCTCTTAATTTCGAATAGAAACTGAGCTTTGTAAACATAAAATGACGGATATGTCAAACTAAAACTGACGGTAAAATGAAACATTGAGTATCGTTAAATGCAACTTTTAAACTAGTTTCAAAAATAGCATTAAAATGATATTATCATTCACAATGTACTAATTTCCTATACTTTTAGTTGATAAATAACCGATAATCATACATCATATAACAAATAGGCGCGTGTCAAAAGGTCACCGGCGAAAAGAGAGTGCCGATGAAAAAAGGTCGTTTCCAATTGTATCATATAAACAGTATCAGAGGCAGTATTATCATCTCATATATCCCCCGTAAACACACATAATATAAACGGAAATAATCAAATACTAGTCAAAATATTATCGATCGGAGCACCATCTTTATTACATTACATGAAGTAATTATTGATTTTTCGGGGTTGATTTAGAGTTAAATTAGACGCCATTTTTGGTCCAAATTCGTTTTGACATGTTTTTTCAAAGAAAGTGACTTATAAATTTCAAAACTACACGTTTTGAAAAATATACAATATTTAAATATTCTGAGTGTACCAAATTCCAAGTAAAGGTTGAACTTAGGTCGTATTACATTTTTTTTTATTACTTGTTTTGACATCGAGGTTAAAATAATTCTACACGGCACCTTTGAGATGAAATGAAAGGGGGTTATTTTACATGATTGGTTTTTATTGAAAATAATAAATTTAATTATTTTCAATAGTAAGGTGACCTAAGTTAGACCTTTATTTTTAATTTGGCCAAAAATTAGATTTTTAAACACTACATATTCGGAAAACTGTCGATTTAACTTTTGGTCTACACATACACTTTTATTTTTCATTCGATACTTCAAAATCACAATTTATTAATTAGGTAGAATAGTTTTAAAATATATTGCGAATTGCGACACGTCAAGCGTCCCACTCCGACTCAATGTGACGCAATTATTGTGGCAATATATTTTGAAACGACTCTATATTCGTTACTTGAAATTATAAACATCCCTCGTATTACTACCCGTATGTAAACCAAATTATTTGTTTTAGGAAATATTTATATTTAATGTGAGGCAAGATATCGTTTTTGTTGTTACCATCTGCATCTACATTCTTTACTTTGGTCCAGGAAACAAAGTCAATTTTCGATAAAAATAAAATGTAATAGGTAGGTAATAATTTATGAAACAGTACAATAAAAGTATTGAAATAAAGTATGCTCATACTCCAAAATGAGTCCTAGAGTTAACATTTTTATAATATTATAAATGGCATATGAAACGATTGGACCGTTTTCACAATCGCGAAATATTTTTTTTTTTATTTGGTAAAATCCCGGCAATTATTGAAAAATAGATTTTATGTTCAGGACTATTATTATGATCCTTCGAACTCAGTCTACTAAAAACCGGTTTATAATACAATATAATACAATATCCCCTAATAGCTAGTCGGTCGATATTTATAGTTACTTAAAGATTTCTGTAATAGTTTGCACTAATTCAATCTCTAGTCGGTAGGTAACAGCACCTCCTTGATTGAATCTAAATTGACATAATTTTGTTCAGAAATTCCTAGGAGACGCTGTCCTTAAGTACCCTTGATAATCTTAATTTAACGACCGGACGAAAGGAGAATTTTTCGTACAACGGACGAAACGGGAACGGGCGAAACGAACCAACGCCCTGTAGCTGATGAAGGAAAAAGTTATCGTGAAATAGGCTTAAGGTTAAGAGTATCTCATACTACAGTATCATGAGTCGTTTTCGAGAAATAAATGACCATACGAGATGGCCTGGACAAGGAAGAGGAGGAGTCACAACACCACGCCAAGATCATTTTATCATACTTCGTGCTTTAAGGGAACGTTTTGTCACAATGATAAATTTACAAATACAAGTGGCAGATGTTCATAATATTCAAATTAGTAGGAATACAATACAAAGGCGTCTCGCTGAACAAGATTTGCATGTAAGGATACTAGTCAGAGCAACGTAAATCATCGTAGAAGTAGATTGCAATTTACCAGAGAGCACCTTGACAAGAAACGTTGATGAGTGGGAGCACTTATTGTTCACAGATAAATCGAGGTTTTGCTTATATAGCTCAGATAGACGTGTAAGAATTATTCAACGGCCCAGAGAATGCTATACTCAGTGCAACATACGACCTATGGCTTTATTCAATGGAGGACCTGTTATGGTTTGGGGAGAAATATCTCTTACAGCACGAACGGACCTTGTTGCTCTACGAAGAGGTTCCTTAACCAGTGAAAGGTATATTACAGACATTTTGTCTAACCATGCAGTTCCCTTTGCTCCTTACATAGGAAATAATTTTCTTTTTATTCATGATAATGCACGACCACATGTTGTACGTTAGGTCCGTGATTATTTGGACGAGGTTTGTATACAAGCCACGAACTGGCCACCCTGCAGCCCTGATCTAAATCCCATAGAAAATTTGTGGGCTACTATTGATCGTCAATTCAGAAGCCGACAACCACCACCTGTTTCTCTTGACGACATAAAAGTTATGGTGAGAGAAGTTTGGGATACAATTGAACAAGACCAAATACACCGCTTGATTTTAAGTATGCCTAGTCGAAGAAGTAATTAGAAATAGAGGCGGAAATACTCGTTATTAAGTGTTTTTAAGAGAGGGAACTTGTTAAAGATTATTTAGGTTATGTTTTCTTATGTTTTAGTTATTTTAAATGTCACTAAGTTTTATGTAAGTAGTGTTTTCTTTGCTTTCATTTACTTTAAATGTCCATAAAAACTTGTTACATTTAAAGTTGTGTATAATCTTTGATAATAGAGATATCAAGATGATTTTTCTACGAAAATGTTGAGAAAAGATAAAGCTATTCGCAATATTAATAAAATGTAGCGTTTGTTTTTATTAAATTCCACAGGGTGTTGCAAAATAAGATAAAAACACATTTATCTTTACACCCTGTATATGGGTAAAACGTCATTTCCCAGAAAACATTGGTACAGTAATTCCTTATAAATGGACCTATAATGTAAAAAAAAATCATTGAATTCCAATCAACAGTCCAGAAGAAAAGTAACTTCAAACTTATGGTACATTTAAGGTAGTGCGTTAATTTTGGATAGTGTAATTGTCTTCCAAAACAGTCACATCCTATGTTTATGTTAACACTATTAAGATACGGAGGTATCGGATTACGAATATGGGAAATAAGGGTAAAATATCAAGCAGGCATAGAATACAGATCTTTTAAAATTTTGGTTAGTTGCTTCGCGGAACAAAATTAAAGTTCATTCCAATAATAATAAACTAGTGAATAATTATAATTTTTGTGAGTGGCTGTTTGCTGAATAGAGTTTTTCTCACGAAGTAATTACGTTTTATCAATTAGTTTTGTTTTAATTTGTAATCAAGTTATTTTGTAAATTATATACCCAATTATTATCCATCTACATTTTATAGTTAATTTGTCAATTCTGATGTAAAGATATTTTGTCAAGTATTAGGAAAACCTTATATCGTAAATTAACGGGGTTATATTAAATAACTAAAACTTATTTGACTATTTACTTGTATTTTGTTTTCCTCTACGAGGTGTAATCAAAAGTAAAGTGAGTTATATTGTCTGTTCTGGAGTAGTACATTGCGGTCAGTGTATGCGTTTATTTTGGGAATACTGTGGTCAGTTTTCCAGAATCGTCGTACCATAGTTGGTGCAGTCTAGTGTGTGTGCTAGTAATGGCTTAATTTATATATCGATCGTTAGTTTGGGCATTGCGGTCAGTGCCAACAGAATTGAAAATATAACTTTGTATTAATTATGGAAAATTTAAAGTTGTGTCAATTATATTTTTTTATGATAAATATTTTGACATAAAGCGTTATCAGTATAATTTTCTTGTTAATTAAAAGGATAATAAGTATTTTGTTTACGAATATCACCTTTTCATAACTTTCTTTAATATGAAACTGCTTTTGGTAAACTTGATTGCTCATACTTGTTTTTCTTTTTATTTCAGGTACGCAATCTCATACGAGCACTAATTAAGTATTTTATCTATTTTATTTTACTATTATTTTATTTAAGTTTTATTGTTTTTAATCATTAAATGCTTACTTATTTCTATCTAATTTTATTTGGTTCTAAATTTTACCTTCCAATTTAAAGTTATTAAATCTTTTATTGAATTAATTTCTAGTATTTCCTGACATGGATTAAATAACTAAATATTTTCGCCCAAGTTTGTAATAGATATTTTTAAATTAAAAATATTGTCCTATATAATGAATATCATTAGGAAGATTTTTTTAAATAGCGTTCTTAGAGGAGAGGAATTTGGACTTCTTACTACTAATCAATTAAAATCAATTATTGCCTTACCGCTGCTAAAAATGTGTTGACTTCATAGATTAAACTTTGTTCGGTAAAAATTGGATTTGAATAAATCATTTCTATTAAGTCGGGTCTTCTTTTCTTCGCTAAAAAAAAAACATATTTAGTGGTAAAACAATTTTACTGCTTTTTTGTAAATAAATACTGTTATTTTAAATAGTGACTTACTTTCAGTTTCTGCATAATCGGCGTTATCATTATCTTTTAATTGATGAAGCTTTTCTCTGACTGCCTAAAATTGAAATAGTATTATCGTAAATTAAGATGTTATTCTTCAATATGGGGTAATTTTTAAAATATTTTTAATAAAAGATCAAAATTAAATGAACAAAAATTAGGAAAACAGTCAAAGAATAAAAACGCTCGCTCGGCAAATAGACTTCAACCTTTTGCTTACCGAAGTTGTGATGTTATTGAACAGTTCCCTGTATTTTTCAAATTTCTTTTTGACTGTTGAAAATGTATAAATCATGCCCACATGATACCACACCTGCAGACTTTTGATTATTCCATAATGGTTTAACCTGAAGTATATTATGTTTATTAGCTTATCATAAATTATTAGGTATTTGATTTCATTTTATTTAAAACCTTATAAATGCGAGAACGGGTTAAAAAATGTCCGTACTAACAGTAAAAAACGATTGTAAGCTTACAAATTGCTTTTTCGTATTACTTTCCTATCTGTATACAGATAAGGAAAGTATAGGAATCATGATTTTTTACATAGTTGATCATGCCACAGTTTATAGCTAAAGAATCAGTTCGCTCACTCTGCCTCGGCACTTTTGATCTCAATGTTCCAGTTTATACATTGCGCAACTCAGTTTTGTATCCCTGGCGCATACATAATCGAATCATAATAGCCCAAGAGCCCACAGCAAATGTTTACCGTCATTTGATAACGAAATGAAATATATCCCAAAGGCATGTGCCAATCCCAATCCGGAGCAAAGCGGTTAAAAAAAATATTTTATATTAAAAAATCACATAAGGCATGACAGCGCTAATTTTGTTTGCCCTTAAAGTTGTCCAGAAAATAACATATTCAAATATATCTTGATATATAATGTTAAAGTGAAACATTTTTTTCCTCTTAACATCGCACTAACACATCTATCCACGATTAGTAGGTAAAAATCATTAAAAATATGAATCAATTTTTGCTGATTTAAAGATTTATTAGTATGTCTATTGTTGTGATTCATTTTTACAGGTTGCCATAGAAATGAAAAACCTTTCACACATACACGATTTAAAAGGTAGGTAAAAATATTAAGAGCTCCTCCGCCAAAAAACAATTTTACATTTGAGGCATTTAAAAAAAATTGTAAAAAAATGGTTCAGGCCAATCGTTCTAAAAATGAACCAAGAATGACGCTAAATCGCGAAAAACTTATATTTTTCATTCTATATCAAATATCTTAACTATTTTCTAAATAACTTTTTTTTTAAAAGATTACCAATTTTAAAGAGGACCAAAGATTAACATAGTTTTCATTCCGATACTAATTCTATTAAAACAATGATACCAGTGAATATGGCAAAGCTGCTAGTCTATGAAGCCCGTAGTTAAAAGGGTAGCTGCTGTTTAGTTAAATTTGTTAATTCCTGTGTCGAAAAATAGGTAGTTGTTTTTGAAGAGGTGCGAAATTATTGTGATCGTCTTAGTTTGTTGTTGAAGCGTTCTTAGGTTTTTGTTTAATTTAGTTTTTAGTTAATTTATGAAATGAAAAATTCTGGAAGGCAAAAATGCTACCACAGCTGACAAATTTCTATTTTAATTGTTTGCTGCCAGAGTTAGTAAATCCTAGAGAAATACGACATGTGCCAATTAGGGAAAAGAGATTGTCAAGAATATAGCCCGCCTAGAAAAATGTGTAATATACAGGGTGTTTCTAAATACATGCGATAAAATTCAGGAGATGATTGCTCGTATGAAATTAAGATGGGTCTTTCCTATAACAAAATTTCCTCAGCCCACCTCTTTTCGAGATATCACCCTTAAAAGGTGGTGACTAAAATTGAGTTTTTATTTTTTTTCTAAAATTTCAGTAAAGCTAGAAACTTGAAATTCTGTAATCGCAAAGGACTACCCACGTGTATTTTTTCAATATTCTTGTTACATTATAGGGGGATGAAATTAGCAACACTTTATTTCATATCAAAACTTTTTTCGAGATGAACTTTTATGAAATACAATTATAACTTGTTTTATTTAATTTTTTTTTCTTGAATTTTTTTCCCAAAACCAATAGCTTCAGAGAAAAAAAATAAGCACCCTAATTTATCATTTTTTTTTTTTTAATAAATTGAGTGGAAAACAGTATTTTTTTCTATGAAGCTATTGGTTTTGGGAAAAAAATATACTTAAATAAAAATTTTTTTTAAATAAAACAAGTATTTCAAGTTACAAAATTATTTCATAAAACTTCATCTCGAAAAAAAGTTTTGATATGAAATAAAGTAAGGGTTGCTAATTTCACCCCCCTATAATGTAACAGGAATATTGAAAAAATAACCGTGGTTAGTCCTTTGCGAGTGCACGAAAATTACAGAATTTCAAGTTTCTAGCTTTACTGAAATTTTAGAAAAAAAAATAGGAACTCAATTTTAGTCATCCCTTCTTAAGGGTGATACCTCGAAAAGGGGTGGTTTGAGGAAATTTTGTTATAGGAAAGACCCATCTTAATTTCATACGAGCAATCACCTCCTGAAATTTGTCGCATGAATTTTTAAACACTGTGTATGTTGATATATTAAGGTAAATGCAGCAGCCTTTATAATTTTCGGACTAGGATATTTCAAAAAGTAATTTTGTTAAAAAATTAAAATTTTGGCAAAATAAATTAAGTAATATTAACTAGATATAGGCCTATATTTTAAAGTTTTAATTCTTTTCAATTTCCGAGAAAAAAAATCAAATATGATAATGAAAATAAATGCATTCCTCAACAGCACCATTCTTAATATAATCCCGAAATTTAAACTCTTATATGTCTTGGTAATGATTTTTTAAAATTCGCCAAAATTAGTGGCTAAAACGTCTCGTTAAGTGCTGCCTTCTGATGTAACGCGCTTGTAACTATCGTATCGTACACTCTGTCATTACTCGTTTCTTGCAACAATTTACAACAGTTTACACCAGAAGATAGCACTTAACGAGGCGTTTTAGCCACTAATTTTGACGAATTTTAAGAAATCATTAACAAGACATTAGGAGCTTAAAGGATCCCGCAATAATCTTATGGAAATTGGGTTTCTGTCAAATTGTCTAAATTTTTTATATGTTGTAGATTTTGTCATCCTGAACAAAAGTCTCCATGGGCACAAAGTGCCAAAATGAATATTTTGGAGCTGCCAAAGCTCCCCTGACCCGTTGCAAAACTATTCATTTTCAATACTATTTACAGATGTCAGAAGCATATTTTAATTATTCTAATATATAGGGTAATGTTTGTGAGGTCACTGGATTCAACCCTCATGTCAGATTGGACAAATTGACCGTTGACAGCTGTCAATTCACTGTCAACAAGGAATATAAAAGTAAATATCATCTTTTCACATTGAGAGTTTGGGTTTTTGAGGTCGCTGAATTCAATTATCATGTCAGATTGGACAAATTGACCGTTGACAGCTGTCAATTCGCGGTCAACGAGGAATATAAAAGTAAATATCCTCTTTTCGCTGTCAACTGTCAATTTGTCCAATCTGACATGAGAATTGAATTCAGCGACCTCAAAAACCCAAATTCTCAATGTGAAGAGGATATTTACTTTTATATTCCTCATTGACTGTGAATTGACAGCTATCAACGGTCAATTTGTCCAATCTGACATGAGGATTGAATCCAGTGACCTCAAAAACATTACCCTATATATTAGAATAATTAAAATATGCTTCTGACATCTGTAAATAGTATTGAAAATGAATAGTTTTGCAACGGGTCAAGGGAGCTTTGGCAGCTCCGTAGATGCCAAAATATTCATTTTGACACTTTGTGCCCATGGAGACTTTTGTTCAGGATGACAAAATCTACAACATATCAAAAATTCAGACAATGTGACAGAAACCCAATTTCCATCAGATTATTGCGGGGTCCTTTGTGGATTATATTAAGAATAGTGCTGCCGAGGAATGCATTTTTTATTATGATATTTCAAAATTAAAGCCATTTTAGTTTTTTTCGGAATCTGGAAGGAATTAAAACATTAAAATATATGCATATTCTAGATATTATTGCCTAATTTATTTTGTCAAAATTTAAATATTTTGAGATATTCTTGTCCAAAAATTATAAGGGGTGTGATCACCTTAAGATTGAAAGAGAATCAGCTTTAATTCATGAGATGCAAAGCATCATAATTGTCGCGTCACAAAAACCACCTACTGCCAAGAGAAAATTTTGATTCAACAGTATTGTATATTTTGTGTTGTAAAAGAGAAAAAATTAATATTTCGTGTTTTAATAGTTATTTTTTAATTAAATAATCTATGTGAAAAAAAAAATTAATACAGACATTAAAAAATTTTATACAGACATTAAAAAATTGTTATATTAATATACTTATTTAATTGTACTTATATTTGTTGTTCCTTTAATACAATAATTACAATTTACCTCTTACAATCCATCACTTTCCGTATCCATATACCTAGGGTCCGATTACAATTAGAAAAACGTCATAACTATTATTTCCAATATACAGGGTATCCCGAAATTAGACGGTCATATTTTAACAGCGTAATCTACATCATACAAGTAATAGAAATTAAACATTTAAAAAAACCGTATTCAAAAACATGCAGATGCCATCACCACATCTTAACCAAATTTATATGGGACCACCCCTGAAGTACTCCCTTACTAACAAAAAAAGAATCATATAAATCGGACAAGGTGGTAAAGCATTATCGCTAAACATACATAAAAAATAAAGAGTGAAAGTTTTCTCATGGGCCCAATTATTAGATTTTGACCAAATTTATATGGGACTACCCCTGAAGTACCCCCTTTCTAACAAAAAAAAAAATCGTTGAAATCGGACACCGTGTCAAAGAATTATCGCTGAACATACATTAAAAAAAAATAAAAAAAAATATTGCGGCGAATTAAGAACCTCCTCCTTTTTTGAAGTCGGTTAAAAATAGGAATAAAAGTTTATATAAACATAAGTCCGAAAACGTTTCGTTTTCGAGATACAGGGTGTTACAAGTGAAGTCCAGATGAAACATTTTTGTAAATATTTTCTAAAATTTCTTTAGTGACCGGTTTTCCAAAGTTAAAAAAAATTAAATTTCTGAAATTACAGACCTACTAATTATTGTTTACACTTTCGAATAAGGTAACATGCTTTTCTCTTGAAAATGGGGCGTCCTAGCGAGATGCAACAAATGCAGCTTTATTATACAGAAAATATTGGTTTTCCAAATTTTATAGTCAAAAATGTTAAAAAAATATCAACAAAAAAAACTTGGAGCATTTTACCTTAAGCTCCCCCTAATTTACCCTAAGACGATGATCAAAAACTGGGGTTTAGTCCAATAAATGGAGCGTTAAAGGGTAAGTATTTGTACCAAATTTTACCTAATTATCTTTAAACGTTTAGAAAATATTTACAAAAGTGTGGTATCAGGACTTCACCTTTAACACCCTGTATCTCGGAAAAGAAACGTTTTCGGATCTATGTTTATATGAACTTTTACTACTATTTTAGGATGAAGATTACGCTGTTAAAATATTACCGTCTAATTTCGGGACACCCTGTATATCATCTATATCAATAAATAAAAAATATTTGAGTTGTTTGGTTTAAAAATAGTATTCCTACATTTCTATAATATTAACAAGCCACTAAACCCCCAGTAGGCGACGATAGCCAACGAATTACTTCGCCAATTGATGATATACCTGTGTTCATGTAATTGTAATCGGACCTTACCCAATCCTATGATTATTCTTCAGCTCACGACAAACGACATTGTCAAATTTATGTAGCGAACAAGGTTCCAAATACTTTAAGGGGAGGTCGTTAGATCCGCGCGGTGTGACGTCAGAAGGGACTGGATTGCTCTTAATAATTCAGGTTTAAAAGCTAGGTTCACACTGAGTTAGGATTGCAATTTTCAGGGAAAACACAATTGTCACTGTCATATCTAATGTGATTTTTTGAATATAAAATAATTGTTTTAATCACTTTGTGCATGATAGGGATTGGTAAAGTACAATGTTGTTATATTGTAAGGGGTTTTCTCGCCACAGAGAAAACGGTTCCTTACGAATGACGCTGGTTACGGGCGGTTCTCGAGCGCCAGATTTTTGGTAATGGTTTACTCCACAAACTTTCGAAACGGCGTCGAAAGTACTCGGGTAGCTACAGATGGAGATGAAAAATTCCAGGGGTCAAAGGTCACTTAGACACAGGTAATAGTAGGCCACAAGTAACGGGCTTTAATCGTTGCTTGGGCTCGTACAGAATTTATCACTAGCTGAAAATATAAGGGGGAAATAAACTAGGGAATTATTAACCAGTAATACGGCAGATTAACATTGACACATATATTGAAGTTAACTATTTACAATAAAAAGAAAAGATTTAATATTTCAACGCCCACCCCAGTTGTGGTGAAAGTCAATATAACCCTGAATATATATATAAAAAAAAAAACGGACGGTATTAATTTGCGACTAGTCTCAATCAGACGTCAAAAATTAAATCAAAATAAAATATATGTTTCGGTCGCAGAGAAAAAAAAATATTAACTTGGCTTTTTTTACTCGTTAGATAACTGTTTAAACGCGGTATCGGGAATTAAACCAAAATGTAGGTATTTTGCTATTTAGGTGAAGAAAAATTAATTAAACGGTCGAAGAGAGTGCGAGGAGACAGGGACGCGAAATAATTACTTATAGTAAATACACGGAAATAAAATAAAAATAAATGTATACCCGGGGTAGCCTATTATCCCAGAATGAGCTGATCGTCATCACGAGCCCGCTCCAGACAGGGTAATGAAGCTATTTTTAAATTCTGCAAGTTGCAGTTTGCACGAAAAAAAATGAAGAACATAAAAGGGAAAAATAAATCTAACGCGGATAGCCCCTAGTCCAAGAATGAACTGATCGTCATCACGAGCCCGTTCAGACAAGGACAGGACACTATTTAAAGTTATTTAAATTGTCGGAAAAGAAAGAAAAGTAAATTATTATCGGAGGGAAGAAAATTTACTAACGCGGATAGTACCTACTCCAAGAGTGAACTGATCGTCATCACGAGCCCGTTCAAACAGGACAGGATACTATTTAAAATTATTTAAAAATTGTGGTTTACAGATTAACTCAAAAAAAAATATAACGCGGATAGCACCTACTCCAAGGGTGAACTGATCGTCATCACGAGCCCGTTCAGACCAGGACAGGATGCTATTTAAGATTATTCAAATATACGGTAAAAGAAATAAACCAATTATTAAAAGAGGGAAAACGTCTCCTCGAAAACTCCGTTTATAAATATTCTTAACTTAATTACAACTCGGTACTAAACAAAAGTATTTATCAATAAAATCAAATTTAAATCCCGATTTAACCTATCAAAAGAAAATGAATAATTTCCTAATACCGACTAACAATCAAAAGTCTAAAACCTCTGGTTTTACTATATTACAGAATTAAATCCCATCAATTAATATTTAATTCAAATTATATCCCTTTTTAAAGAAACGAAATATTTGTCAAGAAATAAATTCAAATGTTTTTAACTAGTCCCTATTTATAAAAACAAAAGAAACGGTATCATTTACTAAGAAACAAATTCTATTATTTATTAAATCAAATTAATTCTTTGAACCAAACCCTATTTATAAAATAAAAATAAAGACGCGGTATTATTTGCCAAGAAACAAATCCTATTAATTATTATTTAAATCAAATTAATTATTTTAACTAAACCCAATCTATAAAATAAAAATAAAGACACGGTATTATTTGCCAAGAAACAAATCCTATTATTTACTATTCAAATCAAATTAATTCTTTTAATTAAACACTATCTATAAAAATATTCCTATTCCTACAAACTAATTTGCTATTTTAAATGAAATACGGTCTCAACTTTCAAACAAAAGAAACGGAACAAGGTTTTTTACCTAACGGATTTGTAAATACTAGAAAACGGAAAAAATATCGGCGATGATTTGATATCTAAAGCGGTGTATCAGAGTCAACTTCTCGGAATCAAAATTTATATCGAACTAATAATTTTAATAGCATCTCCGCTATCGTTCAAACAAATGTCCCTCTCCCAATCGAAAATCCCACTTACGTTCAAATCTATCGCTCATCGAGAATTTGAGTGGCGTTCGCGCATCTGAAAATTAGCAGTTCAACCGCGATTAATATTTATTAATAATGAAAAATGAAAATAAATTGATTGAGAAAAATTGACTTCATTACAATATGCTTTTGAAGCATATTTCATTTCGTTATCAGATGACGGTCAAAATTTGCAGTGGGCTCTCCCACAATACAACCAATACAATATGACCAATACAATATGACAACCGCCTATATTCAAACAGCAGTCTTCTGCGCATCCTGAATTTGTATCCCTGGAGTGGATGTTATTTTGGAACATCCAATTGTACCGAGTGAGCTAACTGATTCTTTAGCCATAAACTGTGGTTATGCTTTCAATATAAGCTTAGATTAAAGAGACCGAAGACGTAACATTGCATACTGCGCATGTTGTCTATTTTAACCCAAAGTAACCCACCAATTGAAAATCATTGTCGCACGACGCCACCCGAATTGCTCCGATTTTTCGATTCAAAGATCACCTCCGCCTTAGTTCAATCACCATTGACAGCTATTTTTTGATTTATTTGTTGGTATTTTAGCAATTTAAAATGTTCTAATTATTCAATTTCAAGTTTAAAATGCCACGATGTATCTTGAAAAATTGTATATACTTATAATACAAGTACCAATATTATGAAAGATAAAAAATATATTCGTTTTCAGCGGTAAATATTTATTATTTACAACCATATATGTAATGTTGTCATTACTAACGTCATTGAAGGTTGGGAAGTGTCACATTACACACCTCTACTTCCCTCCCTCACTTTCCACCCTCACTTCCCGCCCTCACTTCCAGCCCTCGCTTCCCGCCCTCACTTCCCGCCCTCATTTCATCTATTCTAGACGAATAATTTTAATAAATTTAATTGGTAGGAAGTTTTATTCCTGTCTCGAGATCATAGCTAACCTCGACGCTTCGCGTCTCGGTAATCTAATTAATCTCACGACAGGAATGAAACTCTTCCCACCTCGGTGTGTAATATACTATTGTACGCACGCACGCACGCACGCAAGTGCACGCACGCAAGCGCACGCACACAAGCGCACGCACGCAAGCACACGCACAAGCACACGCACACACACACGCCCATGCATACGCACGCACACGCACGCACACGCACGCACACGCACGCACACGCACGCACACGCACGCACACGCACGCACACGCACGCACACGCACGCACACGCACGCACACGCACGCACACGCACGCACACGCACGCACACGCACGCACGCACACGCACGCACACGCACGCACACGCACGCGCACGCCCGCACACGCACGCACGCACACGCACGCACGCACACGCACATGCACACGCACGCAAGCACACGCACGCACGCACACGCACACGCACGCACGCACATGCACGCACACGCACGCACACGCACGCACACGCACGCACACGCACGCACACGCACGCACACGCACGCACACGCACGCACACGCACGCACACGCACGCACACGCACGCACACGCACGCACACGCACGCACACGCACACGCACGCACACGCACGCACACGCACGCACACGCACGCACACGCACGCACACGCACGCACACGCACGCACACGCACGCACGCACACGCACGCACACCCACGCACACGCACGCACGCTCGCTCGCACACTCACGCACACTCACGCACACACACGCACGCACGCACACGCGCGCGCGCGCGCGCCACACACACAGAGACATTACATCCCGAAAATAGTCAAAACGGATTCAGGGGACCCCAAAACGTAAAAATCCGTTGAAATAGATCTTCATTGGGAGAAAAATAAACGAGCAGTTGACTTATGGAGCAATGGTTTAAATCTGGTGAATTATTTAAAATATGGATTACTGGTATCAAGTTGTAAACTTACATGTCTATAGAATGTCCTAGATCATCTTCTCTGTGCTTCACATAATTTATTTTCAAATCCATACCCATTACACTTTCTGAAAGAAAGCCTTTAGTAAAAATTTGTTCAATATATTTTTATTATTTCTCTACTGTTTAATTATAGAGGAGTTTCCAGTAAAACATTATTAATATTCGAGCGATTAACGGCCTTTTGTAAAATATGATTAGCATTTATACAAAATTAAATTAAAATTGGCTCTATTTAGAACCTGTTCAAAAATAATTAAATCTCTTTTTAAAAGTTTATAACTCTGAGGTAAACTGAATTTAAATCAGATTTTTACGATCCTTTTAGCGATGATTAAATTTAATAAAAATAAAGTAACTCAAAATCTGTACCACATTCATTAATAACAAAATTAATTAAACGGGAAAGACAAAATAAATAAAACGCAAAGCAATATGTAACATAAAATATGAGCGACCGTGTCTCTTTGGGAAACAAATACTCATTTGGCTAATACCGCAAGAGGTATTGCCTTTGATTTTGCTTACTAAGGAGAATGTCATTTTTGGACTGGTTTCGTCTTTATTAGGATTCTTCAGCAAGAAATAGATAGGTTCTCAATTCCAGTCTCTAATCGAATTAACGAAGACACTAAATTCACTAATATACAATAACGGTGGTTACGAAGAATATAATTACTTAAGTAGTGAAAATGGTAACGCCTAGTAAGTAAAATCAAAGTTCGCTTGCAGTTAGAAAACTAGGTGAAACCATAAAACCGGGCTGGTAATTTTAAAAAGAAAAATATTTCCAACTCAAATGTGACCAAGACGTAAAATAAAATAAATAAAACGAAAAGCCAAAATATTTTAAAGACGCTTTTTTTAATATTTCTAAAAGATTTATTTGAAATATTTACTAATTGTATTTTATAAACATATTTTTTTTTTTAATTCAAAAATAAATATTTTTATATTTTGGTGGTAACAGGATAGGGGTCACCCCTCTTTATTGTCTTAACGCCCCCCCATTTGCCTCTGGATCCACTGCCACCCCTCCGTTCGGAACCTATGCACTAAGTGCTTAATTAATTAAATTTTAAAATAATTTATTTTACTATGACAATACTCAAATCATTTTAATTAACTAAATTTTGAAATAATTTTAGTATCACATGAGCTATTAAATAATAACACACTAAAACATTATGTGTGAAAAAGTATTAATAGAGGAACATTCGTTTAAAAAAGATAGAATATTCAATTCAACAAATTAGCAGACAGTATCGGTACCAACATGAAATCATCAATATAATAAACCAATAACAGCATCACAGATATATGTTTTATATACAAAATAATTAATAATCACATTGACTCCTCAAATCTTCTTTCTCAAATATTTCTTAATGTTCCCCGTATCACTTCGCGAGTAGCCAGTACGCTTCATATTCCCGTACCAAATACGTATCATCATTTTAATTCACCACTATATTTAATGTCTAAAAGTGTAAACGCCATTCCTAATGTAGATATTTTCCGAGTTTTCCACAATTTAAATGAAATATCCAGGTTAATTTCTGATTCATTTTTCTTTTCTTTCTAAACTTATATATACAGTGCTTCTCAAAAGTCCCCTTCCCCTCTTTTCTTTTGAACGGTGATACTTAGACTAAAATTTGAGGTTCGCTTTTAATTAATAAATATTTAAGAACACGTTCTTATAATAATTGTTCAAAATGTGCTCCATCTACTTCCTGGCAGTAAAAAATCCTATTATTAAACTCTTGTCGGACTCGATTAAATGTGTCTGGGAAAATTGCCCCACATTCTTCAACAATTCGTTGTCAATACTGTCAGGTGCTGTAGCGTAAACTTTAGATTTAAGATATCCCCACAGAAAAAAATCTAAAGGTGTTAGGTCCGGTGACCGAGCTGGCCATTCTATTGGACCGCGTCGTCCAATCCATCTACCAGGATATTCCTCATCTAGATAACGGTTTACTGCAAAGTAATAGTATGCTGGAGCACCATCTTGTTGGAACGTTATTTCCAAGTTACCAAATTCATCTCTATTATCTTCCAGAATTTGAAGAATTAACGCTTCAATTGTGTTTTCTAACATCTCGAGATATACTTCACCGGTTAAATTAGAGTTCAAAAAAAGAGGCCCGACTGTGTAGTTTCCCAAAATACCTGCTCAGACATTTACTTTTAATGGGATCTGTGTATGTTTATCACGAAACGTGAGGATTTATGTCACTCCAAAACCTCACATTTGAGAATTAACATTTCCATTGAGGAAAAAAGTACTTTCGTCACTAAAACAAATTGTCCTTACATAGTCTGGCTGTTGGAGAATTTTAGTAGACATATTTTCATAGAATTCTAGCCTTCGGTCGGGATGGTGACCATGGGCGTAGCCAGACTTTCATTCAGGGGGGGGGGGCAGCATGAGGACCAGCCTTGACAGCCTTTACAAAGGGACGTGGATTTGAGGTGAAAAACATTATTAAAAATAATTAATAATTAAGATTTAAAATAAACTCGGAAATAGAAACTAAACCGAAACCGGTTTTAAGAAAGTGACAAGAAATAAATGTAGAAATTTTATTTTATTAATGATTTAAAGATGCAATACAGAAAATCGAATACAAAGTCTACAATAAATTTAACCTTCTTGTTTTCTTTTCAGCGAATTTTTTTAAAGCCTTTTCTTGAAGTTTCGGTCGTTCGATACTAGTTTTCTGTGGCCATTGTGGACCTCAACCAGGTTTTCACTCTCCTAAGGGTGCTGAACGTCCTCTTAATGGAAGCAGTTATTGCCTTCTTAATTGCTGGGTAAAATTCGGTCTTAGCTAAAACGGACACGAAGTCGAGGTAAGTGTCTTCTTCATCCTTTAAGTCCAGAACCGGTGCCACAATTCTAATTCTCGTTTTTTAATATTATAAAAGCCTGCTATTGCTGCTCCGGAAAATTGCAAGAAGTCTACAGATAACACTCTAACTTTGGTGTGGTGAAGATTCTGTAGTTCGAAGGCCGGTACTTGCTTCTCGCTGAAACGCTGCTTCAAAGAATTACAGAAAGAATCTGAGTAGGGTATTAAAAACAGATATTTTGAAGTACTGTTCAGGTGTTGACACTGGTGGGTTGGCATGGAATGACTGTTTTGTTGTTAATCGGGGCACACGCATTTCTACATCCAATTCCATGCCAATTGCTTTCATTTCATTCATGATAGCTTCCACTGTCTTCTCCGCTTTGTCACGATGTTCACCTACTAATTCCACGATATGTTAGATTTACTGTGAACATTTAACCAAATATATTGCAACAGGAGGAGGAGGAGGAGGAGGAGGAGGAGGAGGAGGAGGAGGAGGAGGAGGAGGAGGAGGAGGAGGAGGAGGAGGAGGAGGAGGAGGAGGAGGAGGAGGAGGAGGAGGAGGAGGAGGAGGAGGAGGAGGAGGAGGAGGAGGAGGAGGAGGAGGAGGAGGAGGAGGAGGAGGAGGAGGAGGAGGAGGAGGAGGAGGAGGAGGAGGAGGAGGAGGAGGAGGAGGAGGAGGAGGAGGAGGAGGAGGAGGAGGAGGAGGAGGAGGAGGAGGAGGAGGAGGAGGAGGAGGAGGAGGAGGAGGAGGAGGAGGAGGAGGAGGAGGAGGAGGAGGAGGAGGAGGAGGAGGAGGAGGAGGAGGAGGAGGAGGAGGAGGAGGAGGAGGAGGAGGAGGAGGAGGAGGAGGAGGAGGAGGAGGAGGAGGAGGAGGAGGAGGAGGAGGAGGAGGAGGAGGAGGAGGAGGAGGAGGAGGAGGAGGAGGGAGGAGGAGGAGGAGGAGGAGGAGGAGGAGGAGGAGGAGGAGGAGGAGGAGGAGGAGGAGGAGGAGGAGGAGGAGGAGGAGGAGGAGGAGGAGGAGGAGGAGGAGGAGGAGGAGGAGGAGGAGGAGGAGGAGGAGGAGGAGGAGGAGGAGGAGGAGGAGGAGGAGGAGGAGGAGGAGGAGGAGGAGGAGGAGGAGGAGGAGGAGGAGGAGGAGGAGGAGGAGGGAGGAGGAGGAGGAGGAGGAGGAGGAGGAGGAGGAGGAGGAGGAGGAGGAGGAGGAGGAGGAGGAGGAGGAGGAGGAGGAGGAGGAGGAGGAGGAGGAGGAGGAGGAGGAGGAGGAGGAGGAGGAGGAGGAGGAGGAGGAGGAGGAGGAGGAGGAGGAGGAGAGGAGGAGGAGGAGGAGGAGGAGGAGGAGGAGGAGGAGGAGGAGGAGGAGGAGGAGGAGGAGGAGGAGGAGGAGGAGGAGAGGAGGAGGAGGAGGAGGAGGAGGAGGAGGAGGAGGAGGAGGAGGAGGAGGAGGAGGAGGGAGGAGGAGGAGGAGGAGGAGGAGGAGGAGGAGGAGGAGGAGGAGGAGGAGGAGGAGGAGGAGGAGGAGGAGGAGGAGGAGGAGGAGGAGGAGGAGGAGGAGGAGGAGGAGGAGGAGGAGGAGGAGGAGGAGGAGGAGGAGGAGGAGGAGGAGGAGGAGGAGGAGGAGGAGGAGGAGGAGGAGGAGGAGGAGGAGGAGGAGGAGGAGGAGGAGGAGGAGGAGGAGGAGGAGGAGGAGGAGGAGGAGGAGGAGGAGGAGGAGGAGGAGGAGGAGGAGGAGGAGGAGGAGGAGGAGGAGGAGGAGGAGGAGGAGGAGGAGGAGGAGGAGGAGGAGGAGGAGGAGGAGGAGGAGGAGGAGGAGGAGGAGGAGGAGGAGGAGGAGGAGGAGGAGGAGGAGGAGGAGGAGGAGGAGGAGGAGGAGGAGGAGGAGGAGGAGGAGGAGGAGGAGGAGGAGGAGGAGGAGGAGGAGGAGGAGGAGGAGGAGGAGGAGGAGGAGGAGGAGGAGGAGGAGGAGGAGGAGGAGGAGGAGGAGGAGGAGGAGGAGGAGGAGGAGGAGGAGGAGGAGGAGGAGGAGGAGGAGGAGGAGGAGGAGGAGGAGGTGAGGAGGAGGAGGAGGAGGAGGAGGAGGAGGAGGAGGAGGAGGAGGAGGAGGAGGAGGAGGAGGAGGAGGAGGAGGAGGAGGAGGAGGAGGAGGAGGAGGAGGAGGAGGAGGAGGAGGAGGAGGAGGAGGAGGAGGAGGAGGAGGAGGAGGAGGAGGAGGAGGAGGAGGAGGAGGAGGAGGAGGAGGAGGACCCTGAAATAACCAATCATTACCAATATGTTTTAGGGACTATATACAAGAAACTAAATTATCAGAATACCAAGAAATCTACAAAACTATAATAGCTATGTAGAATCAAACAATTCAGAAAATTATTCTCCTGACGAAAATAGATCCAAAAACATTAATTACTACAAAGGACATTGGCGCGTACCGAACATTATAAAGACTCCGAACATTCTGAAAACTACAATTAAATGCGAATGCGCCTCTCCGGTTCAACTTGACACTCGGAATCATGAAGTTAGAAGGTACCATTCCACTCTTTATTGATTTCTACATTTTTTATACATTGTTCTACTAGTCTTGATTTTGTTTTTCAAGTCAGCAATAGTCAGACCAGAAATTCACATTTCCTTTACAATAGATTCCAAAGCATTTTCTCGAGCATATTTATTTCTATCTTTATCTGTTCGGTGATTCAATCATGTTCGTAATGTAGTTTTAAAAATTTCATCATAACAGTTTCAGACCACTTCAATCTTATTTTTCTGAACTATTTTTTACTTTCAATAATTTACATTCACAAATCATAACACACATAAGTGCACCGAGGCCAGTTGCAAATGTACTACACTATTTATTTATGTAATTCATATTCGATTGTCTACTTCACACGTTTCAACTTGAAAACAATTCACTTGAACAATAATTGTTTGACTGGGTAAAACTAAAATCGGTAAACTAAACTCGACTAGTAAGAACGCGTCTTTACATCTTTGTACTCAATGAGTCTAATTTGGCCCCCGATGAGTTTGGTAATGCAGATTCCAGATAATGGAAGTGTACTCAGGCTTAGACCGAACTAATGAGAAATAAAGCATTTTGTTTTTTTATCTAAAAGTGAAATCCTGATGGCAAATTTTTGTAAATATTTTCTAAAATTTCTTTAGTCACCAGTTTTCCAAAGTTAAAAAAAAATTAAATTCTGATTCCACAGGCCTACTAATTATTGTTTACACTTTCGAATAACTTATCTTGAAATTTTCAATTGCTTTTCTCTTGAAAATGGTGCGGCCTAGCCAGATGCAACAATAGTAGCTTTATTATAAAAAAAACATTAGTTTTCCAAATTTTATAGTCAAAAATGATAAAAACTGTCAACAATAAAACTTAATTAATTCTACCCTAAGCCCCCCTAATTTACCCACCTATAAAGATGATCAAAAACTGGGGTTTAGTCCATTAATTAGAGCGTAAAAAGGTAAGCATTTGTACCAAATTTCACTTAGTTATCTTTAAATCTTTAGTGAGTGAGTGAGTGAGTGAGTGAGTGAGTGAGTGAGTGAGTGAGTGAGTGAGTGAGTGAGTGAGTGAGTGAGTGAGTGAGTGAGTGAGTGAGTGAGTGAGTGAGTGAGTGAGTGAGTGAGTGAGTGAGTGAGTGAGTGAGTGAGTGAGTGAGTGAGTGAGTGAGTGAGTGAGTGAGTGAGTGAGTGAGTGAGTGAGTAAGTGAGTGAGTGAGTGAGTAAGTAAATACAAGAGAGTGATACTTTAAAGATGCTATCGCCAAAAACTTAATTATAAATATTACTTACTACAAACTACGTCCAAAGAATATCTTTTGACGAAAAGAGACCAATCGTAATCTTTGTTATTGCCAACTTCTCTTAATTGATTTACGAATTTAGCACTATCTTCTGAGAAAGTTTTAACAAATGAATCTATCCTATTTTTCGTGAAATAAGGAGAAATTGCTCTTCGATGAGGTTTCCATATTTTAGCTGAAATAGAAGAATAATTAGTTTATATTTAGTGTAGTTCGATGTACCTACTGAGGTTTACCTAATACCTACATAATAAATTTACTTTAAACTGAATTTTTAAGGTCCCTTCAAAGTTTATTCTGGGAGCAATGTTAAATTATAAAAAGAAAAGAAACTACGATAATTACTAATAAAAAAAAATTATTTTGCAGAAAAAAAGCAAACTGATATTCATTCTGACAGTTTAAAAAACTAAGTGAGTACAGTACACGTTTAAACTAATATACTATGTTAAAATACACTCAAAATAACGAATAAATTTTAAAATAATTCAAATTTAAACGCCGCAGCTGTATGCTAACCCACACGTGTGCATTTTTGACGTACGCAACCGAACGTAACTGCATTAATTTTAACTCGACGCCTGAATGCAAAACTTTCAAGGTAAACCACTTGTTCGCTTGCCGAACTCAATAAACAAATATTTTTACGAAATAAACTCGCCTAATGGGAGATGTCGCTTAGCAATTAATTCTATGCATCTCTCTTCTTAACAAAACAAGCAAAGATTCAGAACCTTCCGAGCTCATGTACAAAGCGATGGCCGCCTTTGTACTATTTTTTATAATCAGTTATTCTCGGAGCAAAGATACTAAAGTATCATAGCATTATCATAGGTAAACAGTGTTACACCCTCAGGCAAATGTTAAGCCTGTAGGTATATTTTTTAAACCTTGTAAATTTGTTAAACTGTTAAAGTTGTCGTGCATCGTTATGAAATAGTGTTTATATGGAAATGTTGCATTTTATTGTCTGTATGGAAGTATTTAGCAGTCAGCACCGATTAAAATAGTCCACTTATTAAGCGTGCCCTTTGGGTCGTGCTCACAATGTATGTTGGGTTTTTATCTTTTAGTAACTATAAACCCGTACATACTATTTATTATAAATATGATTGTATCAGTAGGTACTGTCAAATGCCAATTGAAACTAATAATAAACTCATTAGTACTAAATTAAAAGTAGCTTTAATTATTAGTAACTCCCTTGGGCCTATCTCGCACAGCAAAATTTTTCAAAAGAAGGTTTTATATTACAAATAACCACTCTCAGTTCTTTGTCTGTATTCAGTCGAGACCTATATTTTATCTTTAAAGCAGCCACCGCAGAAAATCCGGCTTCGCAAAGGTAGGATCACAGCTAAAACACTCTCTTGGCGGCAACGGTTTGCGTTGATTCCGTCGCGCATTGCTTAAACTCCTCCTTCGGACGGAAAAGACGGCTTTGGCGTTCAGAATCGTACTTAGGTAAGGATTGAGCCGTGCATATAATTCCGTTGATTGCATAATTTCATTGAGCCTATAATTTCGTTGATTTTGTTTGAGCTACCTGTTGTGTTAAGTTAAAGGTGCTGTTATTATTTTGGTGACTCTTTAACTGTGAGTAGAATGAGTGAAAAAAAAAAGACATCATTCTGTCTGTGCAGACAAAAGCTGTTTTAATAAGGGTTATACCTGCAAGAAAACATTCTTTCGTTTTCCCAAGGACCCAAACCGGTAAGTACCACATTCTAAGAAATTTTCATTAATAATAATAATATAATTTATACAGGATGTCCCATTAGTTCGTAATTGTTCAATAGTTGAATTTGTGTTGTAGACACGCAAAAATAGTTTTAAATAAAAATTATATGGATTTGAAAAATACATATTTTAAAAATATTTTTGAATATTGAATTGCAAATCAAAATGTATGTTTTTTAAATGGAACACCCTGTATTTTATTTTATTTTTAGAATGTTTTGGTAATACTGTATTTAACCCTAAAATGTATTAAAAAATATTAGTGTTGCCAAGCAATTAATTTTTTTTTAAATTAGAGAATGATGCAGACCCCAAATTAAATTATCATAATTTAGGTAGGTTTACATTGATTTCAAAATTGTTTAATATACAGACTTATAATATACTAAGCTAACGAATAGTGGTGATAGAACTGGTTTATTTTATACAGAGTGTTTTAAAACATGTCTTAAATATGGCTAATTTTAAGTTCAATTTACTTAATTTTTTCAAACAAAACACCCTGTATATTATTTTGGCCTAAAATTCCTTATAAATTTGCATATTGGATTTTATTTCATTAAAAAGAATTGTTAATTCCCTTTTTAAAAATGTAATAGCAGTTCTGAAATGGTAATAGAATCCTGAGAAACATTGCTCATTTAACCGATTTTGTAGCTCCTATGATAACCAAGATAGCAATACATGCAGCACCAATCTGGGACACAGTGTATATTAGGGCTCTAGGTCTAGAGCAGTGGTCGCCAACCTGTCGATCGCGAGCTACCGGTAGCTCGCGGAAGCAATTCTGGTAGCTCTCACAACGATTTTAATTTAAAAAATACAAACTGCAAAAATCAGAGAAGCTTCCGAAAATTCCATAAAAAAATCTAATTGTCATAATATTAAACATAAACAGCGGCAACGGTGCGGTGAGCGATCTGCCGCTGATGCCATCAAGCTAGAATCGGCTAGAACCGACCAGCCGGACGAGCGCTTTAGTGTTTGAGAACGATCAGGATTGCTTTAAATGGGATAAATACGCACGGCGCGAAGACATTGCGCTTAGTTTAAAACTGAACGTCCAGCGGTTGGGTTAGAACAACAAAAAATAATATTATGGCAAGCAGTTGTAAGAAGGTAAAGACATACCACTTTCATTCGGAATGGGAAGAACAATACTTTTTTACAGAAGTTAAAGATAAAAATGTGTGTTTGTTATGTAATACTTTCGGTCTCCGTTGCTAAAAAAGGAAACATTGAGAGACATCATAAAACTGTACATTCTAATTTTGAAAAATCATTCCCACTACATTCTGACGCCAGAAAGGAGAAACTGAAACAGTTAAAAAAGCAGTTAATTGGACAACAATCAATATTTTTAAGAACAGTCGATAAAAATAAGGCTGCAACTGAAGCATCGTACCGTGTGTCCCAGATAATTGCACAAAAAAAGAAACCTTATGAAGACGGGGAAATGATAAAACAGGTGTTTTTAGAAGCTGCTGATTCATTATTTGCCAACTTTAGAAATAAAGACAAGATAGTTTCAGCTATAAAATCTATGCAACTTTCTGCTAATACAGTGATGAGACGTGTAAAAGTAATGAGCAATGATATTTTTTTACAGTTAAGAACTGACTTAGATAACTGTGTTTATTTTTCACTTCAACTGGATGAATCAACAGATGTCGTTGACACTGCCCAGATGACCGTGTTCGTCAGGATGGTTTTTAGTGATTTTACGATTAAAGATCTTTTAAAGGTTATTCCACTGAAAGGACACACTACTGGACAGGAGTTGTTTTCTCATTTAAAAAATATTATTTCTTCCGAGAAAATTCCAATATCGAAAATGGTAGGCTTGACAACCGATGGCGCTCCAGCTATGGTGGGTTGTGATAAGGGTCTGGTGGCGTTATCTCGTAAAGATTAAACTTTTCCGCAATTTCTCTGTCTGCATTATCCATCAGCAAGCATTATGTGGAAATTTCCTGAAACTAAACAACGTTATGAAACTTGTGGTAAAAATTGTGAACAAGATTAGAGCTCAAGCGTTACAAAGAAGATTATTCAAAACCTTGGTCGATGAAGTTGACTGTCAATACGGGGACCTACTCCTTCACTCTGAAGTCCGATGGTTAAGTAGAGGACGGGTGCTGAAACGTTTTAATGATGTCCTATCTGGCATAGTTCAATTTTTCAAACAACGCGATGAACCGACTCCGGAACTAGAAAATTCAATCTGGCTTAGAGATTTTGGTATTATCATGAACATTACAGAGAAATTAAACGAACTTAATTTGCAGCTTCAGGGGAGAGACAAAGAACTAGCGGAAATGATTTCTGATATAAAAGCATTTATCAAAAAGCTGGAGTTTTGGAAACAAAACCTTATTAACAGCGATGCCAAGCATTTTCCTATTCTTACAGAAAAAATATCTCAAAATCCATTAGAACCCTATGACAGCAAATATCATGTAGAAATATTTTCTACCCTGAAGAATAACTTCAAAAATCGTTTTAAGGATTTCAACGAAATGGCTTTAGTAGCGCAGTTTGTTTTACCCTTTATGGAAATTGATATCCAATACTTTGCAACTTGGTGTTATGCAGAACTTTGGCGAAGACATCGATGCAACAGAAATGGAAGTAATTTAGTTTTAAAATGATTAGCCTTAAAATCGTTAGTCTCAAGTACCAAATGTATCTGGCCTATTGTAAGTAAAGACAAATATTCAGTTCTATGCCGTGTTGCCTTGAAAGTAAAAGCATTATTCAGTTCAACCTATTTGTGTAAATCTTCTTTTTCCAATATGAAGTTTATTAAGAACAAATATCGCAATCGACTTACAGATGAACATTTGGATAATTGTATTCGAATGGCTGTATCAAATTATACTGCAAACAATAAAAAAATTATCGATGAGTCTGAGTGTCAGCCTTGAACGTGCTTTTTTATTTGTCAATTTTTATGTTCATGATAGTGCGTTACTTTTTTGTTGTTATTATTAACTATTTTTAAATCTTACGTGACATGCCGTTGTGGCTGGATAAAAGTTTGTGTTTATTTTTCAAACACCTTCGTTTGGTAGGTAGGAATGTAGCTATGAACAAGTACATACTAGTAATATTAGTTATTTTGTTATTAGTTTATTATTAGTACCTATGTATTATGTATTACGAGTTAAATAGTAAAATAAATACATATAATGATAAATTAACCGTGGATTATTTCATTTACGTTGCGTTACGTGGCTTCCGTGTGGGTAGCTGGCTGTTTATTCCAAAATTAACAAAGTAACTCAACACATTGAGAGGTTGGCGACCACTGGTCTAGAGTCTATGGTCTAGGGCACTAACAATACGCTGTGCTAAGGGGATTAGGGTCAAAATTTTCAACGCATAATATACGTCGTATTTTATTATTATATGAAAAAGAAAGGTAGGAGGCAC